ACAGATGAAACACAGTGTCAGCAGCAGCGCCGTGCTTCTCCATAATACATATGAAGATGACATTATGGCACTAATATAACTTTCTATAAAGTACTGGCTATCATTGCTGGAAATCATATTTGGAGGTCAGGTCACATTCACCCTAGACTCACAAGTCAGTCTTTAGACGCTTTGCTTAACTAAAGACTGATGACTTTCTCCCTGATTTTGTGTTTAGATGGGCGGATACAATTTCAGAGTTTAANGGGTCAGGCAATCTACATACTGTTGTAATGTGGGCAGATGATTAGACAAGTCACAGGAATTAATGTCCCCCAGAATAAAGACGGGCTGATCAGCTGATCGGGATAGCCCATTGTTGTAGCTCTCTGCAATCTTCGTTGCCGCCCCGTCAAAGTCTGGTCCAGGTAGGTTAATATGATGGTGATCTGGCCAAGTTCTCTAGGCAAGTAGAAGGGTCGAAAAGATACCATAATATTAATAATATATTTCATAATTGCAGGTGCAGGCTTTCTCCCGAACAGTGTACTGTGTGGCCCATCAATTGTCAACAAAAGGACACATGCCACCACCAACTGATTTCCGTGATGTTGTATTGTCCCTGTCCATCCTTATCAATGTATAACCGGGCAGGTTTGGATTGGGCAGAGGGAATGACATGCGGCCAGGTGCCAGTGTCGAACCCGGTCCGCTGTGGCAAAAGCCTTATATATAAGGCATCTGCTCTATTCACTAAACCACCAGCACTCTGTTCACAAGGGTTCTGTTGACTAAAGTTCACATGCAGTCTTGTCAAACTGTTAGGTAAAAGCTGATATACCCTGAGATAAGCTCTCACTGTTTTCCTTTTGTACAAGTAATTTCATTCAGTAGGCTACAAAATCAAATGATGAGATGACTTACTGTACACATGTGATAAGGCACCCCTGCCGTGTGTGTGCACCCTCTTTTTGCTGCGGTCAGATAACCTGTATCTCACCCGGATACAGCAATGCAATTTTCTAATTGGCTGATAGGTAGCTGTATGTTATTTTTTGATTGGCTGGTGGGTAGCTGTGTCTTATTTTTATTGGCTGGAGCGCGGCAAGCGCTTGTTGAGCTCTGCGGTACCCACAGCGTCTTGCAACACGTTGCACTACATATACAGCGATGTAACTTGGTGGGCCTTACCCTAATCATTTTTTTATGCGTGAGAAATACCAGATGTGGCGGATGAGAGTGTGAAAATGTTAAAATGCTGTGTCACACTCTCAAAGCGTGAGACTTGAGAGCCCTGAAATAGACATGCCAAAAGAGGTGAAACACAGTGTCAGCAGCAGCGCCCTGCTTCTCCATAATACATATGATGATGGCATTTTGGCACTAATATAACTCTCTATAAAGTATTGGCTATCATTGCTCGAAATCATATTTGGAGGTCAGGTCACATTCACCCTCTGTACTCTCTTCAATCTTCATTTTGATAAAAAATAAAACAGACTTGATGAGCCTCAGTTAATCTTACTTAAAGAAATGTTTATTACAACACAAATCTGGTAAGAGAAGCTTCTGGCACAGCACGTGTGCATGGACAGAGACTTGCTAAAAACTTAAAATAATTATTTAGCCTTATATAGCGTATTTCACGCATCATATAGATCTGTTTAACATTGGGATTGAAGCTTGTACAGGACCCTGCTTGTACCCTGGAGCATGGTCACATGCCTGCATGCAGACAGTGAATGACACTGAGGTCTCTGAAAACATTTAACCATGACCATGTATGAATATATGATGTACACCATCACAGAGTTATTAATGTTCGTGATGACATTCACATACTGTAGTTATATTTATAATAATTTTTCCACAACAGAAATACTTAGGGGAAGTACAAGTTCCTCAAAATTGTACTTATGTGCAGCATTTGAGTACTAAGTTACTTTCCACCGCCTGATAGAGCTGCAATATTATGAATAAAGATGCACATTTGTAAGGGGGAGGCCAAACCTTGTGGTGGGGAGTGGTGGAATTGAAAATTTTACTAAGTAAAAGATTTTAAAACATATTTAACAGTTGAAGGTATGTTTATCTCTATGGCTTAATTTGTAACCATTAGGCTTAAGGCAGAGATGATGACCCATTTTTTTCATTATGATTGTCTCCTACCTTTTGTAAAAAAAAAAATTGCCAATTACAGCGGCACATCATAACAGTATTTATGACTTGGCCCCAGATTGCAGACCTAAGTAGTTGTCTCTANGACTTGATGAGCCTCAGTTAATCTTACTTAAAGAAATGTTTATTACAACACAAATCTGATAAGAGAAGCTTCTGGCACAGCACGTGTGCATGGACAGAGACGTGCTAAAAACTTAACAACAGAATAATTATTTAGCCTTAAATAGCATATTTCATGCATCATATAGATCTGTTTAATATTGGGATTGAAGCTTGTATAGGGTCCTCATCTTAGAGCATCTTAACCTTCAGACACCCTGGAGCCTGCTCACATGCCTGCATGCAGACAGTGAATGACACTGAGGTCTCTGAAAACATTAACCATGACCATGTATGAATATATGATGTACACCATCATAGAGTTATTAATGTTCGTGATGACATTCACATACTGTTGTTATATTTATAATAATTTTTCCACAACAGAAATACTTAGGGGAAGTACAAGTTCCTCAAAATTGTACTTATGTGCAGCATTTGAGTACTAAGTTACTTTCCACCGCCTGATAGAGCTGCAATATTATGAATAAAGATGCACATTTGTAAGGGGGAGGCCAAACCTTGTGGTGGGGAGTGGTGGAATTGAAAATTTTACTAAGTAAAAGATTTTAAAACATATTTAACAGTTGAAGGTATGTTTATCTCTATGGCTTAATTTGTAACCATTAGGCTTAAGGCAGAGATGATGACCCATTTTTTTCATTATGATTGTCTCCTACCTTTTGTAAAAAAAAAAATTGCCAATTACAGCGGCACATCATAACAGTATTTATGACTTGGCCCCAGATTGCAGACCTAAGTAGTTGTCTCTAGTTGTCTCTAAGTAGAAAAAAAGTCTCATCCAAGAGGCTCAGATAGGGGCCAACAATCAGAGTCCAACTCTCAGTATGACCAGATGGTTTGAGGCCTGTGATTTAGATGTATCATTGTTAATTCTGCTGGGGGAAATGCCCTCACCATGCAATTTTTTCCAAACTATGCACAAAAAGTAAGGAAATTTGTGTTAGGTAGATTATTTCTTTGTTGTAACAGTGCTTCTTGGCAATAAATCTTACACTATTTGAAAGCCTGTTTATTTCCCTGTTAAATGGTGCCACATTTGTAGGGAACATGCATTTGTGGGGTGAGCAGCAGAGCTGAGTATGTGGGTTGCACGCATGAAAAATTTGCCAAATCTTCTCTGCCAAACAGTTGTTTGATAGATTGGATGATTGAAGTCTGAAGAAATAAGACATATTGACAATTTAACAATTTATTCATTCAACAAACAGGAGCTTCAGAGGCGTGTGAAAGAACCATACACAGCCACAACAGCCAGGCACCTCCTACTCATGATGTTCACCAGCCTGGTCACACACTGCTGTGGGATGACACCCATTCTTCAACCAGCATTTGTCACAAGTCAGCCAACGTGGTTGTGTTGGTCACAGCACACAGCACACCCAAGCTGATTCCACAAGTGTTCAATGACGTTGAAGTCAGGACTGCTGGCAGGCCATTCCATCCTTTCCACTCCCAAATTCTAGAGGTAGTCTCTGATAAACCCTGCTCTGTGGGTGCGAGTGTTGTCATCTTGGAGGATAGATAAATATGGGATTGCCACTGGTTGCGGAATTTCATCTCGATATCTCTCTGCATCGAGATTGCCTCCAGTGATGACAACACCATCACACTGCCTCCAATAAAATATGTTACTCTCTTCTCCACACTTTGACTCTACGATGCAACTGCCGTAGGCAGAATCTGGACTCATCACTGACCATAACGTTTCCTCCACATGTTCAGGTTCCAGTGCACGTGTTGCCAACACCAGCGCAAATGGGCCTGACGGTGAAGGGCAGTCATGGCAGGCCTCCTGGCAGCCCTATGAGACCGGAGATTGGCTGCGTGCACTCTGTTCCGGCTTGTCTAGGCAGAGAGCCATCGGCCATATCGTCCTGCAAACTTTGACTGCAAATCTGTAGGAGACTGCCTACGGTTCCTAAGTGCTGGCAGGATGAGGAAACGGTCTCCTTGGGGTGCTCACTTCGCGGCCTGTCTCTGACATTCCCCCTTATATGGAACTTGGTCTTCAGTTTGCAGATGGTACTAGGACTCACTCCAAATAATGCCGCAACTTGGTTGTGCCGAACACCAACTTAAAGTTGCCCTATCGCATGGGCCCTATCCAGATCAGTCAAAAGTGGAATGCCGATTCTTGGAGCAGACACCAACTGACACTGTAGCAGGGCCCATGCTCACAGGTACAAGAAGCTTAAAACAAGTGTCAATAGCAAAAGAATGGCAGAGAAAATCTGACAAATTTTTCATGGGCACAACCCACATACTCAGCTCTGCTGCAAATTCCACAAATGCATGTTCCTAACGTGGCACCATTTAAAAGGGAAATAAACAGGCTTTCCAGCGGTATAAGATTTATTGCCAAGGAGCATTGTTACAACAAAGAAATAATCTACCAAACACAAATTTCCTTCCTTTTTGTGTTTAGTTTTAGATGTTTGTAAAAACTCACTCATTGATATCACAGATGCATTTTTTCTATTTTCGTTTTTGCTAAAAACAGTCTATGAACTCAAACAAGATCAATATCATGTTAAATATTTCCCTTGTTGAAAGCATCATATTGTTCCAGCAAGTGTTTGAAAAGACACACCCAGAATATACTGTACATGTAGATGTTCACATAGTGTGCTTACGCCTTTTACGTGGTTTTATTAATTGTTGTGCAATTTTTTTTCTGTACTGACTTGTTTGTTGACTATTTTAGCACACAGAATATGTCAGAGCAATTTTGTGTCTGCAAAATCACCTTGAAATATTTTTCCAGAAATGATCATTCTGAAAGCTGACCTGAACCAGCTGTAAAAGAAAGCATAAATAAATGGATTGAGCATTGAATTTGACAGTGCAAGCCAGATAAAAGTTTCAAACAGAGGAAGTGGCACTGACACATTATCCAAAAGCTGAAAAGTAAAACAGAGAAAGAAAGGAGTCCAGCACATCAGAAAAACTCCCATAACTGTTGCAAGAGTTTTGGTGGCCTTTCTCTCATGTTTACCTACAGTTGCTCCACATTTTGTGCTCTGACATGTTGTGTTCCTGATGCTGCGTGCCTGTCTCTCTGCCACAAGGAAAATCTTCAGGTAGATACAGAGCATTATGATCACTGGGAGGTAAAATGAGAAAATGGGTCCCAAAATTTGTGCAAGTAGAAGATCAATAAAACAATTATCGTCACATTTTTCATGGTTTAATCCTGGAATTAGAAAGCCAATGGCTACTAAAACAGACACACTCCAGCTGACCAGGATCATGACCACAACAACTTTAACATTTATCTTAGTTCTGTATGTCAGAGGCTGACACACTGCATAATATCTGTCTATGGAAATACAACATAAATTCAGAATGGAAGCTGTGCTCAGTGTTACATCAAAGCTATCTCTCACTTTGCAAAATAAATGTTCATAATGTAAACATGAGCTAAGAGAGAAGGCCATGCTGAGAGGAAAAACTACAAGACCAACAAGCAGGTCAGCTACAGCCAGAGAGAGGATGAGAGAGTTTGTAGGAGTGTGGAGCTGTTTGAAGTAAATGATAGAGATTATTACCAGAAGGTTTCCACATACTGTGACAACAGATAATGACCCAAGGAAAATAAATATTAAAACACATATTGTAGAAGGAGTGCTTGTCAGTCTGTAGGAGACATTATATATTTCATAACAGGGATGTATGTCATTCACATCAGTGCGGCTGACTTCTGGTGCCATGTTTCTTTATTCCTGTAAGAATATCCATTAAGAATAAATATTCTCCATGAGGAACCAACAACATTAATGCATGAAAGATGTATGTTTATCTTAAAATATTTTGATATTCATGAATGTTAAACTACAATAATAATCTCTGGAAAAAGATTTCTTCTTTGTCGTACCTTTTAAATGCTCAAGATAGTTTGCAGTATTGATGGGTGTTCTTCATTACAGTGCCACTGTGCACACTGTTTTAATCAACCCCTATCTCATTATCATAATGACTACACTCTATTATTGTCCAATCAGAAGTGGGACTTTGTAATGACATTAGATACCAGACAAACATACAGAACTGTATATGAGAATTATTTTTTTCAGTCCTTTATGAATTATTTTATTTTCACCAAATGGAATGGAAAATCCAATTCACCTCTTGGTAGACTGGCTATGATCTTTGTAAGAATAGGGCCACTCTGACAAGTTCATGTCAGGTTAGACCCAATGCAGTAATATCATGATGATGTCATGATGCAAAAGAAATTGCTATTTCACAGTAATAGCAGCTGCTAAAGTTGTAGTGACAAATGGTTTGTAGAACAAACTTAATTTCGGTGTAACAGTCTCTTGCAGAATCAAACCCAAAAAAGCCTTCTAGTAGTTGTTGTCAAGTGTTAAAACTACACAGCACTTAAACTACACTACACAGTACCTATTGTAAATAATTTAGAGCAAGACAGATAATTCAAACATACATAAAGAGAACTTCATGAACTAATCCCACAAGTTGGATTGCCAAGGCACACGGCTGCAATGATCTTTTTGTTGGTGTTGATGTTCATGTTGGCAGTGAGAAAAATGTTTTGATTATAAAAAATTACATTCCTCAAGAGCATATTCCTCTCTTCTCTCCACCTCCTCAGTTTCCCCATCACTGAATTGGGCTCGCAAGACCATTTTCAGATGAGGTTTCATGACTGTGCAAAGCAAACACACACACAGCCCAGCTCCTGTAAAGGAGGAAGAGGGCAAAGGACGAAGGATAAAGCACTTACACAAATGTAATCACTGTTAATCAGTGGCTTCACAGCGCTGTACCCCTTTATCACGTCATGCACTGTGTGATGGTCTTAAATAGTTCACATCACACTGTATGGTGGCTCTGATTAACATAAAACAAATAAACACATTTAATTCTCACTCCAAATTTCCACAGGAGATGAGAGGATTAGACACAGTCAGTGCGTTTACATGGAGCCATGTATTCCTTTTGCATTCGGGTTGGAAGCCCAACCCGAATAGAAATGCTCCTTGTAAATACCTCAACCCGAAAGAAAACAGCCAACCCAAGAGAAAATCTAATCGGGTGCACAGGGGTGGAATATTCCTTTTCAGAACCCGAATGGAACAATTTTTCTGTCTTGTATACACCTCCTACCCAATTCCAGCCATTCCGTTCTTTCTGCACATGGTTCTTTGGCATATTGATTCATCGTGGAAGGTTGGGAGGTATTTAACTGTAGGAAGGCTTTTGATTGGATTAGGAGGGGGTGTGGACATGTCACATAGGCGATGGCCATCCTCTTCTGAACCCGTTGGAAGAGATCAGAGTTTTTCTCTTTGCAGCCATCCAGACATGTGACAATATTTAAATCATCCAAAGTTTGAATTAGAAATCGTGTCTCAGTAGCCGACCAGTTCTTGCTCTTCTGAGATGCCATTTTTCTGAACTGTGCGAGTGTGCGTCATGACGCATTATATCGAGACAGTAGTGAGCATGCGCAGAAAGAAGGGAATGGCTGGAATCGGGTAGGAGGTGTATACAAGACAGAAAAATTGTTCCATTCAGGTTCTGAAAAGGAATATTCCACCCCTGTGCACCCGATTAGATTTTCTTTCGGGTTGGCTGTTTTTGTTCGGGTTGATGTGTTTGCAAGGAGCATTTCTATTCGGGTTGGGCTTCCAACCTTAATCGCCTGAGGAAAAAAAGAAAAAAGACTTTGTCTAGCTTTTTCAAAAAGCAGAGCACCAGCAGCATTGGCTGCAGCAGAGACACACTCTCAGAGGAGGAAAGCATCAAGATGGAACTGAGAGCCTACTTGCAGACCACAGAGGCTGACAGTGATGCAGACCGTTTGGAGTGGTGGAGATGCCATCAGGCAAATTTCCCCCACGTTGCAAAGCTAGCTCGACAGTATTTATGCATACCTGCCACCAGTACTCCATCTGAGAGAGTATTCAACACTGGTGGCAACATTGTCACGTGCCACAGGGCCGCACTCAAACCAGATGCTGTGGACCGTCTGGTTTTCCTTGCTCAAAATTTGTAACGGCTGAGATGCCTTATTTATGGAGCTTGTCCATAAAGTTGAAATGTGTGAATATTGTTTCTATGCTAAAGGATAATCCTGCAAGCCAAGTTGCACTTCTTTTTAATTTTCAGAACTTGAATACTGTGCCTGGGCATGAGCAATACTATTACTAATCCAAGTTGCATACTTTTAGTTTACTATTTATTTGTTTAAATACCTCAACTTGAAGAGAAGTCCATATTGATGCAAGTTGCCTTAATGAATGTTCAGTGGTTGTTTACATTGTGTAGTTGATTTTTTACAAAATATGTTTTTTCAAGTTGTTTGTTTGCAAAATTTGAAAAATAAAAGGGTTCTGTATTTTGACTGCAACTGTCATGCATTCTGATTCCTTCACTTCATTAGAATCATGAGTGCCACCTCTTTGTAAACAGCATCATTTTGTGAGGCCATGCAAACCTGTATTAATACTAGTGTGGACATTAATTTTTTTCTACAATATTCACTCCTCATGACAGTAAAATAGGCCATTCTAAGCCAATTTACTGCAGCAATTCCTCTCTAAATCATTAGAAAATGTGGTTAACACCCAGTCGTGCGTGAAAAGAAAAATACCGTCATATACCGTGAAACCGATATAATTTTGAAAAATACCGTGATATAAATTTTTGGTCATACCGCCCAGCACTAAGCCAAGTGCCTGCAAGGACGGGAAATGAGCACTTCGGCACGATGGCACCTTGTGTGTCCGTTCTGTTTGAAGGTCAGCAGGCGGTGCATTACTTCACTTGTCTCTGCAACCTTGTCAATAATGCCATCAGTATCAAGCTCCATGAGAATCTCCTTCTCTGTTGACATCAGTAAAAATGCCTCTAGGCGGTTCTGGCTAATGGAGCTTCTGAGTCTGTTCTTCACAAATTTCACTGTGGAGAAAGTCCTTTCACAGGCCAATTGTGTTACAGACAGGGTCAGCAAGTACCTGTATCCCAGACCAGTGACATGGTAGGTATCTGTTAGCAGGTTGTTTTGGGACAGGATGAGGTAGCAGCATATGGGACAGTTCTTACAAGAGGAACAGCTTCTGCTCTCTAACTCCAGGCTCCCCTCAGGTTCCTCAGTGTGTCCACCCTCCTCATGCAGCTCAGTGAGTGTCCTAACTCTATAGCCCTCCAAAGGTGGCATCTTGAGTGTCTCCCACTGATGTGCAAGGCTGTTTAGTTCTGCCTGCAAGGTACCAACTGTAGCACGCTCATCAAATTTCAGCAGGCATTTACTGAGCTCCTCCAGTGCTGTTTTGTGTAGCCCTTTCTTCCTAACTGGACTTTGACCTTGTAGGCTGTCTCAGCATCTGCAAGAGACTTGTCCTGTGCCAGTTCACCTGGCATCGTTTTTTTCTTTCTGACACGTTTCTCTGGGAGGGCAGTCTGGACTTCAAGGTCACACTTATCCTGCTCCTGTAGAATGGTATTTGCCCACTCCACAAACACATCTGCTGCCTTCTTGACGCCATCAAAATCCCTGCAACACTTCCTCAGGCTGTCTTCAGTTCCCACCACCATGCGCTGTGCAGTTAGTACGTCCATACCAGTGGTCTGAAGATATTTTGAAAGGGGGGTCGTCTGCTCAAATATTCTGAGAAAAATCTGTGCTGTGAGTATGGTTTCATGTTTCAGAAGTGCCTCCATGTATCCCCTGGCTTTGACTCTCACAACAGGTTTCATGGTTTCATTTTTCTCTATCCTTTGCAGAGTGAGCACCAAGTCAGTGAAAAGCGCATCTTGAGGATTTCCAAAAGAGCCAAATACTTTTCTCAAGACTTGGTCTTTTGCCAACCACCATGTTTCTCCTATTGGAGCAAGCCGCCTGTGTCTCCTGTCTTCACTGACTTCCTCCCACAGACGCATGCGTTTGTAGGACTCCCGGATGAGTACTGCTACATCATTTAGCAACGAGAACAGTGATGCACTCGGCACAATGACTCCAGTAGTCTCTGTTAACAACAGACGCAGCACATGTGCGTAACACCATATGTGGACTTTTTTGGGAGACTCTCCAGTGAGCAATGCAGAAAATTCCTTATACTGCCCCTGCATGTTAGCAGCTCCATCAGTTGAGTTACCAACACAATTTCTGTTTTTTTCATTAGTTCCACAAAGTACTCGCCAGTCGGTGCCTTGCAATCAATGACAGCTATCAGCCTCTCGTGAACCATATCTGTTACATACCTCAGAACTATTGCACACTGGTCCTTGGATGTTATATCTTGGGTTGTGTCCAGTTGGATAGAAAACATCTTTGCTTTCTTTACTTCACCAGCAATAGTTTGTTGGATTAAGAGACTGATAATATTAATGACTTTGTTCACTGTTAGTTTCGACAGCAGAACTACAAAGGACCCCCTTCCTTTAGCTCCAGTCTCATGCAGCATCTTACTCTTCTTAATGCAGTCACTGACATGTTCTTGTAGGCAGACATTGTACTTGCTCAGTAGCAATATCATCTCTAAAAATTTCCCATGGTCCATGGCCATGTTCTCTAGGCTATATGCAGCTTCATGTAGTGTTGCTTTCGAAAAGTTACGAAAAGTATGACTAAATATCATCATCAACGAACCTTTATCACGTGACGAAAACGAAATGAGGCGCAACGTAAATGGTGGTCATGTGACGATAACTATAATTAAATATATAATGCAATATTGTTGACAAATAAAAACGAGACTAAATGTGGTTTACAAAATAAAACCTCTGCTAAAATGTCTCTTCATTTTCATTGACCAAAACGAGACGAGACGAAATAACGTTATAATGTTTAGTTGCGTTATTATTATTATTTTGCAGTATTTCTGTTTCCTAGGCTGTGTGTCGCACTGCGCAGACGGATTACAGCCGTGACGATATACAGTACAACATCACTTGCTCTCATGTGATATTGCTTTTATACAACAGTTCAACAACAGTTTAAACAGCAATGCTGAGTAAGGAAATGTTAACAAAAGGTAATGAAATAAAAGTATTATAGTTATGTAGCTCCGCGATCCCCCAGTCTGTTGCCAGGCAACGCGGAACACACCAGGAACTCACAAGCTACTTTGAATTTACATTGATCTGCAACTGTGTAACTTCGTCCAGTTCAGCTGATGAAACGTTGGCAAACCTGGATGTTGGCAATTCAGCTTCCACTCTCCCTCATCCTCATCAGTACCTCATCAGATTATCATTGATAATTCCTGACTTTTTTCTCTTCATTTTTTCTCCTCTCCAGTTTTTCGAGTTCGTCTGATGTTACACAAACACACCTGGAGGTCTGCACAGAAGAGTCCTGGCTTTCCTTTTCCTCGTCCTCTCCTGACAACCACTCATAATTGAATTCAAATGTAATTTTGGGGAAAATATCCATCTTCTTGGTGTAACGCTATAGTGTCAGTTTGTGTCAATGTAGCGAGTGTGACAGCTGGTTAATTAACGGTTGTATTTATATTTATTACATGGCTCTATTAAATGCTGTATTGTGATTGGTCAGTCGCGGCATTCAGAGGTCTGATATTACTGTGTAATGACTGTTGCTATGTAGCCCAGCGTTGCTAGGGACGCTGCCCTGACAAGGAGATTCAGCCGTTGCCGGCAGGGCAGGGTGCGAGTTGGGGTTCTATTCCCCTGTCGGGAGTTATTTTCCCAGTATTCACTGGCTCATTATACATTATCCCTTACTTATAACACCTGTGAGCGGAGTGATTTTACTGTTACATGTCCCAGTGATGTTATACTCTATATCAGCACTCATGGAATGCCTCTCGTCCAATCAAATTACTCGGTCGGAACTAACTGTTGTATAAATAAATATATATTTAGCTCTAACTAGGAGCTAATTTAGAAAAAAGAGACTAAAATACAATTTTCATTGACTAAAACTAGACTAAAATGTCATCAGTTTTCGTCAACTAAAACGAGATGAAAATAATCATGGATTATTCTGACTAAAATAAGACTAAAATGCTCAGACTTTTAGTTGACTGAAACTTGACTAGACAAAAAAGAGTATGAACGTGACTAAAACTAATAAAAACTACAATGACAGTTTAACACAAAGACTAGACTAAAACTAAAATTAAAACAGGCCGCCAAAAACAACACTAGCTTCATGTTTATCACCTCTGTAGCTGAGACCACGCTTACCAAGGACCCTGACGACATTGACCACACGTTCCATAACTTGTCTTTTTTTCCTCATTTGCTCTCGGTGTACTGACATTTGTGTTTCTGTCAGTAGGCTCCTGACATCAGCTCTGTTTGCCTTGAGTAAATATGCCTCTGCACTATCTCTATGAGACCTGCTTTGTTCATGCTCCTCAATTCTTTGTGTACATGCGTCCATGTCTGCATGCCTCCTTTAACAAAAGGACTATCACTGGCATAAGGCTTGGCAAACATGAGACACACTGAACAATATAGTGAGTGAGATGATTCACAGTATGTTAACCACTTTCTATTTGTCCCATCCTTCTGTAGAATATGTTGGGAAGGGCTTCTTGGGAGTTTGTGGGTGGTACCGGAAAAATAAATCCAAATCTTTGGACTGAGGGCGAGCAAATCAAAATGTCTTTCTGGATCAACTTCCTGTGTGTCTCTCTCTCTGTCTTTGTCCGTTGTCCCTGCCGGTACCAAATAAGAAGAACCAGCATAAGCATTACTAATAATTACAATATATGATTAAGAATTAGAAACATAACTTGTTTCAAGAATACTGTGTCATCAAACTGCCAATATTTTGTTCAGCTGTTTCATAGTCACAGCAAAATCTATGTGCCATATGACATGATTAAAACTTATACCAATAATATGTTTCCCTACAGTACATTGGTTACCCTAACCTGTCAGTAGTTCCTCTGAGCTATGATCCCTGGGTGGAGCATCACCACCTGTTGTCAGTGGTACTGAATAGGAAAAAACATGCAATAATTACATTAGCAAGAGCTAATTATGAAAGAACATAAACAGTGAATACCATTGCCATCAAATATGTTTGTATTCAACTGTTTCATAGTCATAGCCTACAGTAAATCTCACACATTCATTATTCAATCTTATACTAATTATTTGTCCTACTGCTCTGTACCTGCCAGTTCTCTCTCTGTCTCCCTCTCTCTTTCTCTCTCTCTCTCTCTCTCTCTCTCTCTCTCTCTCTCACACACACACACACACACACACACACACTCCATATGATGGAGTTGTGAACAAAAACTTAAGATATCACCACACATTTAACCAAAACAAGCATATAAACACAACAGCTAACCAAACCAGCATACAGCACAACCAGATGAGAACACTGACAAACTGTTAAGTCAAAAAGTTCATTTGACCAGTGTTTACTGTAATGGAAGCAATTAATTTGTCTTCAATCATACTCAAAGTGCATAGAAAATAAGTCAATCCTCTCTGCTGGCACAGTGATAATAAAAAATGTTTTCATTTCAAGGGGTCCCCAGACCCAGATTGACATCATGCAGCATTCAATTATAGGCCTGACTCTGTACAAAATGGAACCAAATGGACCCTTAAGGTGTGTTCACACCGGACCTATTTTTTTTTTTCGCTAGCGAGGAGTTTACATACAAAGTCAATGCAAACGGGCGATTGAGCGTATATTCGCCCAGGAGAAAAATCGCTCGGGCTCCAAGCGACAGCGACAGAGCGACAGAGCGATTTTTGGCTCGTCGCTTGAGATGAGAAATCTCATGTGGAGCGGTATTTCGCTGGGTTCTGTCGCTTGCAGCTCAACGTTGATTGGCTGCCGTAACCCCGGAATCCCGGGGGGTTCTTGACTGTCATGACATGTCAGCTTCATTAAAAGTATAGCTGCAAATTAAAAGCAACAACAGATATAAAAACACACAGACACAATGCATCGGTGATCAGTTCCCTAATTTAATTTTAACAATTTTTTCAATCTTCTCCAATTTCTCGTTTTATTTTATGGAAGTAATCAATGTAAGTGCACTTGTCCTAGAGCCACCACAACGTTTTTTATAATGCAAATAACTCTGAGATAAAACCTACAAGCTTCTCTTCCTATGACTTTGTATGTGTCTTGTATGTTTTCTGAAGCCTTTGGGCCCTATTTAGATGGTCTAAAGCGGACGGCGGAGGGCGCATAATCCATGTCGCCACTGACACTGCAGT